AGCCATGGGCTTGAGAAGGCTGAGTGCAGCCTTGAGAAGTGGCGGGGACTGCCTGTGCTGCCCTGCTCACATGGGGACAGTGGGGCAGAGCTACAGGTCTCCTTGGGGACTGGCTGGTCAGATGGGTGGGCTTACCCTACTGCCTGTGCCATGAGCCCTCCAAGGCAGGGCCAGAGGGGGCCGCTCTTTACCAAACTCCGGCCCTGCTGGCCAGCCTTCCTCTGGACGGGAACTGTCTTATGGGAACTGAAGCTCCTTCCCTCTTCTTGAAATCCCAGCCCAGCCCCGAAAGCATAAATCTGTGGCTCTGGGAAAAAGGGAAGTGGCATGGCTGGGGCCTCCTGAGATCCCCAAGTATGAAGGGGCCCAGCGGGCCCAGCTGCTGTGGGTGGCAAGGAAGGAGCTCATTCTCCAGCCTTGCTGCCCCTGCAGTCCCAGCCATGGTGGGTGGGGTCTTTCCTTCTTTGTGCCTCTCCTGGCTCCAAAGAGGGTTTGCAGTGTCATGGGCCAGGCCTGGCCACACACAAAGCTGTCCTTCTAGGGGCAGCCAGGGCTCTGGAGGTTCCAGTTTGAGACTTTCCCTCTCTTGTTTAGAAAGGGAAATATACCTGTGAGAAAAAACTTTGAGTCCCCATTTTGTGCCTTCCCCGGTGTAGTAAAAATAGCTGTATTGTATGGAGAGCTGAGAGCTGAGGCCAAGCACCCCAGCTGGCTGAGGTGCAGGACCTGCCCACAGCCAGGAGATGAAGAGGTCCCTTTTTTACCCTCTGATGTTGGGAAAACAGCCTAGCCGTGTGTTTCCTCCAAGCCCAGCTGCCCGGGGAGCACCCCTGGACCTTCCTAGAATCACGGATTAAGGGGCATGATCCGGAGGAAACAGTGGTTGGTTCATGCCTTTGAGGGCTTACAAGAGGAAGGAGCAGGGGTGTTCAGTGCAGGAGGTTTTGTCTTCTCCCCTGCCCCCGAGATTACATGTGCCCATGCAAGCAGAAGGTGATGTAAGAGAAAACCCTGTCTCTGTGAGAATACTAATAGTTCATGATTTTACAGCCGTACACCCAGGAGCACATTGTCATTTTTTCAAATGAGGAAGGCAGGGAAAGATCTCTCAGTGCAAGTTTAAAAACAAGTTGGAAAATAATGTGTTCAGTGTTATACTTGTTATGTGAAAATACACGTGTGTCTGTGTTATGTACGTGTGCGTGTCTCGCCACTCATCTGTTCTAGAGACTTAGAAATGATCTCAAAGCCTACACCCCAAGCAGTGATTTCTTCTGGGAAGCTGGGAGGGTAGAGGGACAGGCTTATTTTGTTTTCTTTATTTTATATACTCTAAATGGTTGAATTGGTTACAACTAAAGAAAAAATAGAAAAAAGTTGACAAATTTTCAAAACAGATTTTTTTCATGATTCTTAGAGATACGGGAAAGGGCTGGAAATCGGGCACTGGTGACATCCTGCTCACCTTTGCCTGGGGTACTTCCCCCCAGCCACTCTGCCCTCTCTGTCCCGTTTCCTGCCTTTTACATTCTGAATTTTACCACTTGTCTGTCTCTCTCCTTCCTTCCTTCCTTCCTTCCTTCCTTCCTTCCTTCCTTCCTTCCTTCCTCCCTCCCTCCCTCCCTCCCTCCCTTCCTTCCTTCCTTCCCTCCTTCCCTCCCTCCCTCCCTCCATCCCTCTTTTCTCTCTTTTCTCTTTCTTCTCTGGCCATGTTGCTGAGGCTGGAGTGCAGTGGCGCTATCACAGCTCATTGCAGCCTCAACCTCCTGGCCTCTAGGTGATCCTCCCACCTAAGCCTTCTGAGTAGCTGGGACTACAGGTGTGCACCACCACGCCTGTTTCTGTTTTTTGTTGAGAGAGGGTCTCACCACTTTGCACAGGCTTAGTTTGCTTTCTGATTTATTGTTTATGGTTTTCTGTCCAGTTTCATTCTAAATGCTTTTTGTAGTTACCATCTCAAAATAGTCTGAAAGAGGGGACAGATGTTCACAGGTCACGCCTCTTTACCCTGTCTGAACTTCTGTGTACTCCTGTCTAAGAAGGGATGAGTAATTTGATTAGCAAATAGGGCAGGCCCATGCAGATGCTGAGTAGATTATTATTTTCACCTTCACAGCATCTGAGACCATGAACTAGTTTGTTCATTCTCAGTGTGGATACTGCCTGTTTTTATAGCTTATCAACAGGTGTTTAATTAAAAGTTCAGATGTGTTCACCTTCTGCAATCACAGTGAAATGTCGTGGTGAAGATTCTACTTAATGTTAATTTTTTATTTTTTATTTATTTTTTATTTTTTTTAGAGACAGGATCTTGCTCTGTCACCCAGGCTAGAGTGCAGTGGTGTGATCACAGCTCACTGTAGCCTTGAATCCAGGGCTCAAGTGATCCTCCCACCTCAGCTTCCTGAGAAGCTGGGACTACAGGCTCACACCACTGTACCTGGCTAACATTAATTTTTATATCATTGATTATATTGTTTTCCCGAGTAAAATGAGGAGCATACAGGTTTTCCACTGGGGAGTTGATCTGAACAGATTTCAATTCCTCATACATTCTTCTTCTGACTCTGACCTTTCTACCACCTGTGGATGATGGCAAGTAAACGCCAGCCGCCACATTAAAGCGACATCTATATAGAACTAGAACTGGCATTTTCTGTGCTATGCTTTGCTGGAAAGCTGTTGCTTCCTTGTTTCATGTTTACAGATTGATTATGAATGAGCTTGATTGACTTTTCATGTTGTCGTTTCCTTATATTTTCTCTTTTTTAGAATTGTTCCTTAGTTCTTTTGCTTACCTTATAGGCTGAACCATATGAAATTCCCATTTTTGTAGGTCAGAATGATGGCCTAATATTGGTGGTTTTATGTGGTTTATCTGAATATCTTTAGAGCATTAATGTTTTTTATGTTTTAACAACATTTTCTAGTTACACAAGTGTTCTACTTGTTCTAAAATTTTTGAGATAATGTAAACATATGTAAAATAGGAAATATAAATGTGTAATACCATGAAAGCATCTCTTACCATTTTGGTGTATTTGTTTCTTTTTTTCCCCTTTTTAAAAATATATTTTCCCCCAGAAAGTTGCAGAAGCTTCTTGGTAGAATTGTTATAAGGCATAAATGAATTATTATATGTAAATTGGCCAGTAAGTATATTAGTTGTTATTATTAGTAGTATAAACACTCTTTATTCTGCTACTGCCTATGCAATTAAATATTTTTCAGAAATGTGATTTTTGGCTGGGTGCAGTGGCTTACACCTTGTAATCCCAGCACTTTGGGAGGCCAAGGCAGGAGATCATTTGAGTCTAGGAGTTTGAGACCAGACTGGGCAACACAGTGAGACCCCCATCTCAGTTAAAAAAAAATAAATAAATTTGCTGGGCACAGTGGTGTGCATCCATAGTCCCAGCTACTTAAGAGGCTGAGGCAAGAGTATCTATCTCTTAAGCCCAGGAGTTCAAGGTTACAGTGAGCTATGGTTGTGCCACTGCACTCTAGGCTGGGTGACAGAGTGAGACCCTGTCTCTAAAGAAACAAAAATAAATAAATGTTATTTTCAAGACTGTTTAATATTCTGCCATATAAATACACAATAACCTGACAAACTATTCTCTCATTGGCTATTTTAGGTTATTTTGTTCCTTTCTTTATATAAATAGTATTCTGATGAACTCGTATCTTTGTCTATAGCTCTATTTTCTTAAATATAAGGAATTTCATGTAAGTGAGATAACAAGGCCAGTTAATATTTTAAGTATTCTTGATATGCAGACAAAGTATTCCCCAGAAATGTTTGCTAGTTCCTTCCTCCAGCAGTGGGTGAGATCCCCTGCTTATGACAGGCATCCAGGGTTTTTAGTCTTAATAATTTGACAGTTACAAATAGCATATTTTGGTTTTAATTTCAGCATTTTTAGATGATTATTAATTATATATTTATTTTGTGATTTATTAATATCCTCTGTAATTTTATTGAAGTTTCCTTTTTTCATATTGTAAGCACTTTTATTTAGTACAATTTAGTAAAACTTTTACTCATCATTTGTAAAAAAATAATAATAATAATAAGCCTTGTAAGAAAAAAACTAAATTTGTATATGTATATCGAAAAATTAATCTGGGTCAGGTATGGTGCCTCACACCTGTAATCCCAGCACTTCAGGAGGCCAAAGCAGGCAGATCACTTGAGGTCAGGAGTTCCAAGACCAGCCTGACCAAAGTGGTGAAACCTCATCTCTACTAAAAATACAAGAATTAGCCAGGTGTGATGGCATACACCTGTAATCTCAGCTGCTTGTGAGGCTGTGGAGGAGAGTCACTTGAACCCAGGAGGCGGAGGTTGCAGTGGGCTGAGATCTCACCAGCCTGGGCAATAGAGAAAGACGCTGCCCCTCCCGCCCCCTCTCCCAAAAAAAACTTAGACTGTATGCTGGCCAAAATATTAATAATAGTGTTTTTAGATGGTAGTGGAATTTTTGATGGTTTTAGTTTTCTTTATACTACGTATCTCTATTTTCTAATTATTCTATAATAGTTTCTTTTATTCTTTCTTTTTTTTGAGATAGGGTTTCACTCTGCTGCCCAGGAGAACAGTGGCATTATCATGGCCCACTGCACCCTTGAACTCTTGGGTTCAAGCAGTTTTCCTGCCTTTGTCTCCCAAAGTGTTAGGATTTTGTCTCACAAAGCGTGATGGTCACCATACCTGACCTAATGGATTTTTCTTATACAACAAAGAAATTATGGTTCTTATGACTGATGACTGAGGGACTGTTTATCCTCATTCCCTGTTAACCTGCTCTGGCCTCTCCTGCAAAGATAGAGCTAAGTCCTCTCACTGCTCGGCCCTGTGAGGCCCCCTGGTGCCTTCCCCACATGCCAGCTCCTGCCCCCGCCTAGGCCGCATAGCTCAGCACTCTCCTTTAGTGTGGGAACGGGAGGGGAGTCAGGACAGTGTCCTGATGTTTTCTTTTTCCCTTGCACACTGCCAGCCTGCTATGGGATGGATGAAGAAGAGAATCACTATGTCTCACAGCTCAGGGAAGCCTACAGCAGCTGTGACACTACAGGGACCGGCTTTCTGGACCGTGAGGAGCTCACCCAGCTCTGCCTTAAGCTTCACCTGGAGCAGCAGCTGCCTGTTCTCCTGCAGACACTTCTCGGAAACAATCACTTCGCCAGGGTGAGTGTTAGACTTGTCGTGAAGAAAAGCACAGGGGTCTATGATTGGCACTTAAGGGCATTTGATAAATATCAGCTGAATAAGGATACAAGTGTCAAAGTAAAGTTATTAGAAAATGGAACAGTGTCCTAGTTTTTCCCTCTATGGAAATTCTACATTGTAGAAAGTGGTTTCTTAAGAAACCATTACTTGTTTTTAATGTAACTTCCAGAGATTTTGTTTTTCCAGAAAGATATTTTAGTGGTTTGTCACAGGGGCAGGACGGGGAAGGAGTTTTGTATGGGCCAGTGGTATGTGGTTCACAAAAACCATATGGGCTGGACCTGTGAGCAGCTCACACTGGTAATCAGAGAAAGCATCACAGTCCCTAGAAGGTGGATTGTCTGATACAGTTTCACAGTTTGAAATCCATCTAGGACCTGGACAAAACAATTGCAAGCTACAGTTGCAAGAATGAAGGATAGCCATGTCCAGAGGTATCACATAATTTCATCTAGGCCAGATAGAAAATGTGAAATTGGAGGGTTCTTTTCGATCAGAAGGTCAAGATACCTAGAATGGGGATCTAGGTCCTAGACTACAACCTGCTTTCATGATCAAAACACTAAAAAGCACCTGCCCATTTCTACTTCTTTTTATTTTTAAGTTCTGGGGTACATGTGGAGATCGTGCAGGATTGTTACATGGGTATACATAGGCCATGGTGGTTTTCTGCATCCATCCCCCCGTCATCTACATTAGGTATTTCTCCTAATGTTATCCCTCCCCAATACCCCCACCCCCTGCTGTCTCTCCACTAGCCCCCCCCCACCTCCCAAAAGGCCCCTGTGTGTGATGTTCTCCTCCCTGTGTCTATATTTTCTCATTGTTCAACACCCACTTATGAGTGAGAACATGTGGTGTTTAATTTTATGTTCTTGTGTTTGCTGAGAATGGTGGTTTCCAGCTTCATCCATGTCCCTGTAAAGGACATGAACTCATCCTTCTTTATGGCTGCATAGTATTGCATTGTGTATATGTGCCACATTTTCTTTGTCTAGTCTATCATTGACGGGCATTTGGGTTGGTTCCAAGCCTTTGCTAGTGTAAACATGCTGCAGTGAACATATGTGTGCATGTGTCTTTATAGTAGAACAATTCATAATCCTTTGGGTATATACCCAGTAATGGGATTGCTAGGTCAAATGGTATTTCTATTTCTAGATCCTTGAGGAATCGCCATGATGTCTTTCACGATAGTCGAACTAATTTACCCTCCCACCAATAGTGTAAAAGTGTTCCTATTTCTCCACATCCTCTCTGGTGTCTTTTGTCTCGAGATTTTTTAATGATCGCCATTCTAACTGGTGTGAGCTGGTATCTCATTGTGCTTTTGATTTGCATTTCTCTAATGACCAGTGATGAGCTTTTTTTTCACGTTTGTAGGCTGCATAAATTCTTTTGAAAAGTGTCTGTTCATATCCTTCGCCCACTTTTTTGTAGGGTTGTTTGTTTTTTCCTTGTAAATTTGTTTAAGTTCTTTGTAGATTCTGGATGTTAGCATTTTGTCAGATGGGTAGGTTGCAAAAATTTTTTTCCCATTCTGTGTTCCTACTTCTTAAATGTTCTCGGATGTTAGTGCTAAAAGCAGTGCCTTATCTTGTTGGTCATCTTAACTATGAAGGAATAACTTCTTTTTCACAAGACTCAGTATTTTCTTTTTATTTGTTTTTTGAGACAGGGTGTCACTTTGTCATCCAGGCTGGAGTGTAGTGGAGTGATCTTGGCCCACTGCAACCTCCACCTCTCAGGCTCAAACGATCCTCCTGCCTCAGCCCCACAGTAGCTGGGCTTACAGGCCTATGCCACCACACCCAGCTAATTTTTGTATTTTTTGTAGAGACGGGGTTTTGCCATGTTACCCAAGCTGTTCTCGAACTCCTAAGCTCAAGCAATCCACCTCCCTTGGCCTCCCAAAGTGCTGTGAATGCAAGTGTGAGCCACTGCACCCACCAGTATTTTTATTTTGAATGAGGGGGAAAAAACCCAGCCAGTAAATTTTCCTGAATTGGCCCTTGGGCCAAAACAAATGAGGAAAAGAACACTTACTGCTGGCCTAGTAGAGTCCAGGTGAATCAGACCTCTTGTTAGTTCCTCAAAGAAGCCTCGCCTGCCCTGTCAGCAGAGTATTGTGCCTCCCTTGTAAGGAACTCTTATCAGGCAAACTCATGCCCTTTCTCTGACTTTGTTTTCTATTCCTGCCTTTTAAAATGGGCTTAAGAAGGCAAATGTATTATTGATAGATAATGATCTAGCCTCTTTTGATATCATCCGGAATTGTGTTTGGGACCTAGATGAGCAAAAGTCACATTTGTGAAAAATTGTGTCTTTATCTTGCTGAATTGATATTTTTTAAAAATTGAGAATTTAGAAATTAAACTTTGGAAAATTCCAAAACAAAAGAGTAACTTTTAGGTCCACATTGAGATTGCAGGCTCTGGTGATTGATAAGCCATGCCATTCCCAAGCTTTTCGTCACCTTATACTTTGTATTTACAGGAATGATACAAGACAGAAACATTCAAATATGACAGCATAACCATGATGAGTATTAGAACATTAACAAGGAGAAAAAATCAGCTTGGGTTACATGAGCTTTCTGACTTGAAACCTGTCCATGCGTCCTGAAAAGCGGCTCATCTGAGACAGAATTTCCTTCCAGGAGGCCTGAGGCTTCTCGTATGTGTGTGGGGAGGGTATAAGAAGAAAGATGGGTACCACAAGCGGTTGCAGGAGCCAGGCCCTTTCTGACTCAGCTCCCCCTGGAACAACCATGAATGTCTAGCCATCATCCTTCTGCCTGTCCCATCTCCTTTCTGTCCTATAGCCATGATTTTCTGTTCCCAGAAAGCAAGTCAGATGTTAGATAAACTAAGAAGTAACTTTGTTTGCACTGGTGCTCTTGACTCTACCTGACATTATCCTTTCTCTTCTCTCTGTAACATTTCGAGAGCACCCTGCCGCCACTGCAAGTGCCCAGTGTTCACCTCTCTCTCACTTGATCCTGTCCCCTCCGAGATGGTTGGTCATGGTGGACGATTTTTCTGTTCTGGCTCTGCTTGCTTCCCTGCTTCGTCCCACAGACAGGGCAGAGCTCCCACAGCCCCTATCATACAGAGATTTAGGGGAAGCAGGTATCAAGCCAGAAATATCCATGTAGGTGTCCCTGCTTTTCTACAACAAACCAAATGGTAGAGATTTCAGTGAGTCTTAAAGAAAACCGAGATAAACCCTTTATCCAGGAGAATGAATTGGCTTTTTGATTCAAATACTACATATCTAGGCCAGGCGTGGTGGCTCACTCCTGTAATCCCAGGACTTTGAGAGATGGAGGTAGGCAGATCACCTGAGATCAGGAGTTCGAGACCAGCCTGGTCAGCATAGTGAAATCATAGTGAAATCGTGTGTCTACTAAAAATACAAAACTGAACCACTCATGGTGGCAGGCACCTATGACCGCTACTCAGGAAACTACTCAGCTACTCAGGAGATTGAGGTGGGAGAATTGCTTGAATACAGGAGATGGAGGTTGCAGTGAGCTGAGATTCACACTACTGCACTCCAGCCTGGGCGACAGAATGAGACTCCATCTCAAAAAAAACCCATAAAAGCAGTTCTTGAGGTCAGGAGTTCGAGACCAGCCTGATCAACATGGTGAAACCTCGTCTCTACTAAAAATACATAAATTAGCCAGATGTAGTGCCGTGCATCTGTAATCCCAGCTACTTGGGAGGCTGAGGCAGAAGAATTGCTTGAACCCGGGAGGCAGAGGTTTCGGTGAGCCAAGAATGCACCATTGCACTCCAGCCTGGGCAACAGAGTGAGACTCCATCTCAAACAAAACAAAAAAAAACAGAAAAAGCAAATACTACCTATCTAGTCCTTGTGGTAACTAATATATGTGATATTATATAAATGTTAGTTATTGATACAGAAATCTCATTATAAAAATGAAACAATCCAGGTGTGGTGGCTCACATGCGTAATCCCAGCACTTTTAGAGGCCAACCTGAGAGGATTGCTTAAGCCCAGTTCAAGATTAGCCTGGGCAACAGAGTGAGACCTTGTCTCTACAAAAAAATTTTAAAGGTAGCTGGGTGTGGAGGCATGTACCTGTAATTCCAGCTACTTGTGAGGCTGAGGTGGGAGGATTGCTTGAGCCCAGGAGTTTGAGGCTATAGTGAGCTGTGATTGTGCCACTGTACTCCAGCCTAAGCAATAGAGTGAGACCCTGTCTCTAATATATATATACACACAAAAAACACATATACATATGTGTGTGTTATATATATATTATATTGTCATATATATATATTCAGAAGAAAATGGATGATCACATCTGTATTGAACAGGTACAGACTTTTTTCTTCCATTTACATTGTATTGGCTATTATAAGTAACCTAGAGCTAAATTAAAATATACAGGAGGTTATGTGTAGGTTATATGCAAATACTACATTTTATACAAGGGACTTGAGCGTCTGTGGATTTTGGTATCTGCCAAGGGTCCTGGAAGCAATCCCCCAGGCATACTGTGGGACAATTGTAATTTGAAGTTGAAAGTACCTCTAGACCACACACACCAGCCCCTTTACTTTGTGATGAATGAGTCTGAGATCATGCAGAGTTGGGATGGTTTACCCTATTGGTGAAATACCTGAATATATGGGGTTGCCACTCACCTTTTGTGAACTTTAGAGAAGGACACAGGAAAACAGACAAGCATGGTCAAGATGGTATCAGACCAAAATGGCACCAAACTGGGCCATCATATCCCACTGCTCTTTGATGGATGGCAGAAAGCCAGCTGGTAATTATTATCAAAGACACAAAAGGATCTGTGATTAAAACAAGTAAAATTCTAATTTTATTATTCACCTAGTATTTGACAACTATCTTTTGGAAACTTATTATGTGCTAGGCAACACCAGATGCTAGGGATGCAAGGAGGAAAGACTCAG